TATTAGGTAATCTAGAGAGTTCATAAAAAACCTGTTTTGTGGTAACATGTTTTGTGGTCAAGTGAAAGATAGGCACCCCCATGGGTCTAAGGTATGCTTTTGATACTCAAGCTTGTGAGTTTAGTACTTGATTTATCTTTAAGAGATATACTGACTTGATCGTCGGAGTGCCCCCGGGTGGTCGAAACCACCGCGGGATTCTTATATTTCTGTTGCAGGTCCGTCAGGTGTCATCTATTCTGCCAGTGCTCTCCAGCTGGTTACTAAGCGGGCAGTGTGGTCGGAAAATCACCCACACAAAAGTGATTTGGGAAGATGGTTAAAAGTTACTTTTGACTTTTTTGATTAATATTTATTTATGATATCACAGCACAATAAAATGACCAAATTATCTCACCTAATTTAAAAAATTTATATTTTCATATATGTATAATCCTAAATAATATAAAAGATATAATTATAATTTTATATATAATTTTTTTAGACTTATCAAATAACTCCATAATTAAAAAAGACATCTAACTTTTTTAACTCCCAAATTGCAAAGGTAAGTTTTAACTCAACTCGTCAAAAGACCACTTACTACAGATATTAGACATTGGAAGGAGCATCAAATAATAATGATGAGGCTGAAGATGGCGATGACATCAATAGTGATAGTCATCCACATGAGTGATGGGATCTCAATAGGCTTGGCTGCATCTTCATATCCATCGATCCAAGCCAAAGATGGTCTCTTCTTCAACTACCTTGCAAACTAGTAATTGCTATGGACCATTTGACTACTATTTCTGGCAGGGTATGGTCCGAATTAGACTGAATTAGAGTAAAATTAGGATCAATTTGTTATTTATAATTTTTGAAAAATTAGAACCAATTCAATCCGTTTAAATTGTGAAATCAATTTGAACCAATCCATTTAAATACGGATTGGATCAGTTTAGGATTACGGATTTACATAATTAATAACAAAAAAATATATATAACATTTTAATTTCATAAAAATATAATTATAGCACCATATTAGTTTCATAATAACAGCATGTCTTTTCATAATAGTGACATACTATTTTAGAATTTAAATAACTATAAGAAAACTGGTTCCACTATAAGTATTTAGACCATTATAAATTAATATTAAAAACTAGTAAACAAAAATAATAAAAGAAGATACTATGTGAGTTTAGGTTTGGATTTAAGTTTTATATAAAATAAGAGAAGATACTATGCAAGAGGGTATATAATAAAAATATAGACTATTTGTATACGGTTCGGATCGGTTCCAATCCAGAACCGTGAGGTTCAATCCGAAACCAATCCTTAAACTATAGATTTTTAATTTTTCAATCCGGAACCGAACCACGGATTCAAAAAACCAATCCAAACTTACTGGATTAGACTGGATCGGATCGGATTACGGATTTTACGAATTTCTTGCTCAACCCTAATTTCTTGGTTCAGCTGAGATGTATGTGCATGTGGCCCTCATATCATATTCAAGTCATTATTCAGTTTGTTTGGTTTAAATTTTTAAAATTTACTTTCCAAAAATTAAAATTTTTTATTTTTCATATTTTTTATTTTTATTGAAATTTTTAAAATATTTTTAATATTTTTAAATTTTTATATACACCTAACATAAATACATTTAAAAAATTATAATTTTTGTGAAAAAAAATCTTTAAAAAATTTACTAAATACAAAAAATACGATAATTTAATACATTTTTTTATATTCTTGTATATTTATTGATTTTTTAAAATATTTTTTTATAAATATTTCACTTTTTAGATACATTTAAGTAAGATGAATCTAAAAAAGCTTAAAAAAAATTGCTTAAAATTTTAAAAATATTTACTAAAAATAAAAAACTCAAGTTTTTTAAAAATTGAATTCAAAAAATTAAAACTGAACACACTGAATTGTTATAACTATATAGCTATATGTGTATGAAAATAGTATTTCATTTGAACCATTATATATGTATACATAGGCTTTCATAAATCCTAGTATTATATGTAGGGCAAATTAGGATGATAGTCTATGCATTTTATCTCTTGTGTCATTTTAATTCATGTATTTTCAATTAGTTTGATTTTGACTATGAATTTATGATTTTGTCTCAATTTGTTTCAATTGATTAGAATTCTTAGCATTTTTTTATTAAAACACGCACATAAGTGTCATGCGCCATGTTTTTAAGAGTAAAATTATAAATTTATTCAACTTAGATAGTTAAGCCGAACCAATTTAGCGATAATTTTTCTTAAAAAACACTATGATATTATTAATTTGATCAAATTAAAAAAAATTAAAATTAAAAGTCAAAATTAATACAATTAAAAATATAATAATTAAAATGACATAAGAAATAAAACATAAAAATCACAGATATAATTTATCCTATTATGTAAGGTAAGGCTCCGTTTGGCAAGAGCTAAACGGGGTTTTTTTAACTATTTTAGTCACAAAAGATAAAATATGCTATTTTAGTCACAAAAAACAAAATATCACATCTAACCCATAATCATTACATTTTTCTCTCACAAAAAAAGTCAAAAAAGCCAAAAAGTTAAAAAGTCCTTCTCAAACCAAACTTTTTAGCCTAAACTAAAATAGCTAAAAAAATTAAAAAGTCAAAAAATCAACCCACTTCCTAAATGAAGGCTTTGACTTTTTTTTGAAAAAGGTGAAAGTGGTCTCATTCTGATATCAACAAGGCTAAGCTATTATTGGCAGTTGCCATTTCAAATCTAATTAGCCTCCGTTTAGGAAGTGGGTTGACTTTTTGATTTTTTAACTTTTTTAGCTATTTTAGTCTGGGCTAAAAAGCTTGGTTTGAGAAGAGCTTTTTGACTTTTTAATTTTTTTGACTTTTTTTGTGAGAGAATAGTGTAATGATTATGAGTTGGATGTGATGTTTTGTTTATTATGACTAAAGTAACTTATTTTGTTTTTTGTGACTATTTTAGGCCCAAAATCACTTGCCAAACACCACCTTTATGAGTTGGTTTGGGAAGAAAAAATAACTTGTAGGGAGGTTTGGATTGGGCAACAAGAAAATCACAACGATTGAAGATTTTTAGACATTTCAGAATAAATAATGAAATAAATATTTATTTTATGAGTTTGAAATTTTTTTCATTTATAGGGTTCGTTTGAAATGTGGGTTGACTTTTTAATTTTTTAACTATTTTAGCTTGAGTTAAAAAACTTTGTTTGGGATGAGATTTTTGGCTTTTTTTTTTTAATTTTTGTGAGAGAAAAATTAAAATAATTATAGTTTGAATATGATATTTTATTTTATTAATTTTTAGCCTATTTTGTCATTTTATGATTATTTTAGCCCAATATTAAGATGCTAAACGAAGGCGTAGTAATTTTTATTTTAGATCTTACTGGACTAAAACAACATAACAATGTGAAAAATAAAAATAAAAAGAATTAAAAATCCACTAAAAACATAAAAGAAGATTTAAATTTTTTTTTTTGGTTAACTTTTTAATACTTCTAGATTAGATGGACTTGAAAATTAAAAAAATTTAACACAAATTTAAATAATAATTAAAAAAAAACAAAAACAATGAAGTTTAGAAGAAAAAAATGTGACTTTTTTAGTTATTGCAAAACTGGGTTAAAAAAATTGAATTATTTGGCAGCAATAATGAATTTTAGGTGACGGATTAAGTGGCTTATTGAATAAGCCAGGTTATCTTTCCTTTTTACAAATATCTATCTAATTTTATAATCCAAATACAATTTTAAGAGAGGTGGAAAAAAAAATTTACATCCACCCTAGGACAAAATTGAATTATGTACACCAAAATTAAAAAAATAAATAAATAAATAAAAAATGGTATGCTGCATGAAGTGAATCAAATTCAAATCCCATCCAATAAAAAAAATATTTAAAACAAGCCCATCTAAGCTACTGGTACTGGGCTAGTCCAAATTTAGCCCATGAAAATGAACTAAAAATGGGCTCGTATTACAGCCCAATCCATTTTTCTCAATTTCAGTTTTGAAACCCTAGCTTCTTCATCCTCCTCTCCTCCCAGAGCTGAGCTCAACCCTGCTCTCTCTCTAAAACAAGCAAGCAAACAAGCAAGCAAGGAAGCATGAGAAAGCTAAAGTATCATGAGAAAAAGCTGTTGAAGAAGGATAATTTCATAGAATGGAAGAGAGAAGATGGCCACAGGGAACCTCATGTTATGCAGCGTTATCATGTCACCGATCGAGACGATTACAAGAAGTACCAAATCTCTCTCTTTGTTTGCATTTTATCTGATTTTTTTTTTTTTTTTGAAAAATGTCACAATTTGTTTTCGTATGTGTATGAATTTTGTGGATGAATGGTTATAAGTTTCGATCAATTTTTTTGTTTTTATAGATTTTTTTTTTCTTCTTTTGCAATGAATAGGTATTCGACTTTGTGTCGGAATGTGCAGAAGCTAGTGAATATATTGAAGCAAATGGATTCAAGAGACCCTTATCGGATCGAGATGACCGACTCTCTTCTTGAAAAGCTGTTAGTTTTTTTAAACTGATCAATTGAAATTTTCTTCAAGAGAATTTAGTATGTCTGTTTATTCAGTGCTGTTTCAATCTTATTCAACCTTTGCATTATCCATTTTGAGTATGATGATGATGATCAAGTTGTGGAAACTGGAATCTAATTCAAAATTCAAAATTTGGGTTGGGTTGAGTTGCTCCATATTCAACAGTTTGTCAAATTGGTGAATGTGAGACAAACCTGTTTATATTTGGCTACTGTTTAGGTTTTGACCCAAATTCAACTTTTTTTGAAATTCACCAACTTGGATTTCTTTGCTTGTTACAAATGGGGAGCTTTTTTTTTGATGTTTGAAAGATTTTGCAAACTGTGCCCCAAATTTGCCAGAAGTTGCATTTCATCGTTCTTTTCTCAGTCTACATTTTAATGATAATTTGAGCATTGTATGAGATTTTCAGCCAGATTAATCTGCCATGCAATTTTAGTCGATGTTCTGATCAGAAATATTCATTCCTAATAAATTGTGATGCCTACCCATTTAGGAACTCGATTTCCAATTCATTAGGAGATCTTTATACTTGTAATTATGCAAAGTATTGCTTGCACTGGTCAATCTTACTACTAATGTAATGTCTATTTTGAACTCTCTGTCTTCAATCAATAACTCAGATTCCTTAAAAGAAGGGTCGTATGATAGAAAAAAGGTAGTCCACAAAACTTCAACCAAGGCTAAAATACTTCCTTTTGTCCAAGGTTGTTAAAATCGGGATCCTTGTTAGGAATTTACCATTCTTAACCAAGATCAGTGAGACACGAAATAACAAATAAAGAAGAAAAACGAATCAAACAAATCACATACACAAGAACACAAGAATTTATGTGGTTCACTCCAGAATAGGGCTACGTCCACGGCTGCTGCAGTTTTTCACTACGATCAGAAAAATACAACTCTCTTTCAACCTAAAAGAGGCGCCCCCTCATCTATTTATAAGTATAGAATTAGGGTTACACAGAAGCACATGGGAATTACGAAAGTACCCATCTCCCTTGGGGGGAGGCCCCCCCAACCCCCCATTGGACCCAGTGTTTGAGTAAACAGTGGGGTTGAGGGAAGAGTACTTATCAGGGTCTACCGACCCAACAATCTCTTACTTGGAACCTAATAACACAAGCTCTCCATCATCTTTATCACATAGAAGAACGCCGCAACAATTCAGTCTTCCTTTATCAATCTTGAAGGCCAACTGAAGTTGTTCAGTTGGCACACAACTTCAGTTTGTCAATGGTGATTGTTTTGGTCAACATGTCTGATGGATTCTTATTGCCATGGATCTTCTTAAGAGACAAAACTCCATTATCTACAAGTGAACAAATGAAATGGTATCGTAGCTAAATGTGTTTCGTCCTAGAATGAAAAGCAGGATTCTTTGCAAGATGAATAGCACTTTGACGGTTACTATGCAAAATACTCATCTCTTGCGTCTTACCCAACTCTGCTAGGAAATTCTGTAACCAAGTCATGTCCTTTCCAGCTCCAGCAATATCAACATACTCAACCTCTGTTGTAGAAAGGTGTTAAAATCCACCTACTCTCCACCTACTTCACCCACTTAAACCTACTCCACTAAACCTAACCCACTACACCACTACCACCTCACCTACTCCACTAAACCTAACCCACTACACAACTACCACCTCCACTTCACCTACTCCTTACCTACTACACACTCACCCTCTTCTATAGGAATCATGAATCATTGTAATAAATATCTATACAACATATATCAATCAATAATACAATTCTCTATTTCTTTTTTATACATTGAATTTCTACAAAAGGGCCACAATCTTCTGTAACTGTGAAATCCAACTCATTGCTGTACCACCCAATGTGTAAACATAACCAGTAGTACTATTTTTGTTATCCATATCACCAGCCAAGTTTGCATCAACATAACCATGTAACCTGATGCCGGTTCGTCTGAAACAAAATGCCATGTCTGTAATACCACTCAAGTATCTAAGGATCTACTTCATTGTCTCCCAATGTTGCTTGCCTGGATTACTTATGTACCTACTAACCACTCCCACTACATGTGCAATGTCTGGTCTAGTACAAACCATAACATATATTATGCTACCGATAGCTGAAGCATATGGAACTCGTTTCATGTAAGCCTGCTCTTCTTCGCTCTTTGGAGACTGCTCTTTGGTAAGTCTAAAGTGGCTAGCCAATGGAGTGCTCACTGGTTTTGCACCATCCATGCTAAACCTCTTAAGAACTTTCTTAACATACTCAACCCATGACAACTTTAAAGTACCATTTGCCTTGTCCCTGTGAATTCTCATACTAAGGATTTTGTTTGCAACTCCAAAATCCTTCATTTCAAATTGGTTGGACAAAAGTTTCTTCAATGTTTTTATCTCTTCAATGCTAGAACATGCGATAAGCATATCATCAACATATAAGAGCAAAATAATATAATTTTTGTCAAATCTCTTGAAATAATAACAATAATCTGCTTGACATCTTGTAAAACCGTTGCTACACATAAACTCATCAAACTTCTTGTACCACTACCTTGGGGCATTTTTCAAACCATACAAGCTTTTTCGAAGTTTGCATACAAACTCCTCTTGCCATGTGCCAAGAAACCTTGTGGTTGCTTCATGTAAATTTCCTCTTCCAAATCACCATGGAGAAAAGCCGTCTTCACATCAATCTGCTGAAGATACAAATCTTCAGCAGCCATAATTCTCAGCACCAATTTGATTGTGGTCAACTTCACAACTGGAGAGAAAATGTCAGTGTAGTCAGCCCTTTTTTTTTGCTAAAATCTCTTTACAACTGGCCTTGTAGTGTTTACTCCCATCATGTTCCTGTTTGACCCTGTAAACCCACTTGTTGTGCAAAACTTTCTTACCCACTAGTAATTTGGTCAACTCCCATGTCTAGTTTGCCATGAGTGAATCCATTTCATCCTGCATAACTGACTTTCACTTAATTGAATCAACAACCTACAAAGCCTCATCATAACTCTCAGGTTCACCCCCATCAGACAACAACAAATAATGTAAAGATGGAGACTAACGCTATATAGGTTTAGACTCTCTTTCTAACTGTCTCAATTTAGGATTAGGAGTAGGAGTAGGAGTATGTGACTCAGTTTGTGGAATAAGTTTTTCAGGATTATTCTGAATCCTACTATTCATATCATTCTCACTAATCTCCTCTAACTCAACATGCTCATGACAAGTAACAGATTCAAATACAGACTTATCCCTATCCTCATACATTACTTTCTCATTAAATATGACATCTCTACTTCTGATTATTTTTCGATTTTTATCATCCCAAAACCGATAACCAAATTGATTAATGCCATACCCAATAAAAGTACATTTAACAGATTTCGAATCAAGTTTACTTCTATCAGCAGAATTTATATGCCTAAAGAACAGGAAAAATCGCATAGGCCAGAAGTCTTAGACGACATAATTACTTCTCCGGCAAAATAAACTTCAAGGACTATGATCAAGATGCCGTCTACAATGTCATAGGCGACATCAAATACTCGACAGTCCTTGCCGAATTAATGAAGAATTTAGTAGGTTGCCAAAGAGACTTCCATGTATTTGTTAAATTCTAACCAAATCTCACTATTAGAGAAGGAATTCTTTGTATTATATTAACTAATGGGAACAGTAGTTGGTTAGATGCAATGTCCCTAAAAATGGGAGAATGGTTTGATATTAATGTAAACACTGTCATGATTAATGAAAAATTTTATTAATTTTATTTATGAAATCACTCAAACTTTTATTTACTTATTACATTTTCCTTATCATCAACTATTATATCTTATCGGAGAGGCGAAAAGATTTGTTGTTAGCAGGTTTTGGGAAAAGTGGTTCAGTTATTCATGAACACAGAGGTCGTCTAAGTTTGTTTGAGATTGATGTACGCAGAAGTGGTGATGGTATTGGTGATGTTGATCCTGATCCGTCGATTTCAAAGGTTGGTGTTAGAAAAGAAGTTGATCGGAGAGAATTAGTTGTTATGGACCCCGCAGAATTTTCTGATGTTTTACGAAATGTAATAATCAGTGTAAAAATATGAAACACAGCCAAATATCTTCAAAAAAGAGAGATTTACCTCTTTTCCGCTCCAAGCTTCTTCTGGTAGCTGTCCATGCAATGGAACAGATGAACCACGGTTAATCAGATATGCTGCAGTGTTAACTGCATCTGCCCAAAACATCTTTGATAATCCAGTATGTATCCTCATATTTCTAGCACATTTATTCAGAGTTCTATTCATGTGTTCTGCAACGCCATTCTGTTGAGGTGTCTTTTAAACAGTTTTCTCCATTCTAATTCCACTTTCTGTACAATATTTCTTGAACTCATTGTCCTCATATTCCCCTCCATTTAACTGATCTCAAGCACTTAATTTTCTGACCTGTTTCAATCTCCACTAAGGCTTTCCACTTCTTAAAAGTAGTATAAACTTCAGATTTATGTTTCAGAAAATAAATCCATACCTTTCTCGTTAAGTCGTCGATAAAGGTAACATAGTATGATGATCCTTCAAGAGATGAAATTAGTGCAGGTTGCCACACATCTGTATGAACCAACTCCAACTTTTCTGACTTCGATTTCCTGCCATCCTTTGAAAAACTAACCCTCTTTGGTTTGTCGAAGATGCAATCCTCACAAAAGTCAATGTCCATTGATTTCAAATATGACAGTTTCCCCTTAGATGCAAGTACCTTCATCCCTTTTTGACGCATATGCCCAAGCCTTTGGTGCCATATATTTGAGTCTTCTTTCTCACCAGCAACTGCTACTGTATCCTTATTGTTCGTAGTCATGTAAAAGGTGTTTTTTTTTTTATTACCACGAGCAACAACCATGGCTCCTTTGGTGATTTTTCACAAACCACCCATGAAAGTTACAACATGACCTTCATCATCAAGTTGTCCAACAAATATCAAGTTTCTTTTCAAACCAGACACATGTCTAGCATTCTGTATCTTTCAAACAGATCCGTTTGGCAACTTGATTGTTACATTCTTTTACCCACAATCTTCAAAGGCTCATCATCAGCCAAATAAACCTTTCCGAAATTACTACCAATGTAATTGTCCATGATTTCCCTCTGTGAAGTAGAATGGAATGATACCCTAGAATCTAAAATCCAAGATTCAAGAGAGCTATCTATACTCAAGATCGAAGCATCATAAATCTCCTCTATTGCAGCATTAGCAGACTTCTGATTTTGATCACCTTTGTTCTTATTTAATGTCGGACAATCTCCTTTTAGATGTCCATTCTTTCCACAGTTCCAGCAACTCCGTCCCTTTCCAGTTCTTGACTTGCTTCTATGTTTGGATTTTGATCTGTTGTGATTCGGGGGTTTTCTACTGATCTTCCTCTGGTTTTTGTATTCAGGGCAGAACCTGATGTTTCTCCTAATTCTCTCCTGCGAATTTCTTCACTCAGAATTAAATCTCGAATATCACTGTAATTCAATTTTTCTTTTCCGAAAGAATTACTCACTGTCGTTACAGTATCATTCCAACTTTCTGACAAACTAGATAGAAGAATCAAAACTCTAACCTCATCATCAAATTCGATAGACACAGAACTCAATTGTGTTACCACAATATTGAATTCGTTCAGATGCTCAGCCACCGAAGCACCTTTTGTCATTCTCAGATTAAACAATCTACGCATCAAATAAACTTTATTTGAGGCAGAGGGTTTTTCATACATGTTTGAGAGTGCCGCCATGAGACCCGTTGTAATCTTCTCCTTCGCTATGTTAAACGCAACATTACGAGACAACGTTAACCGAATAACACCTAGTGCTTGGCGATCAAGAAGAGTCCACTCATCATCTTTCATCTTTTCTGGTTTAGTCCCTAAAAAGGGCTAATACAGTTTTTTCTGATACAGATAATCTTCAATCTGCATCTTCCAAAATTCAAAATCTGTGCCATTGAATTTATCGATTCTAACCTTTTCATCTGTAGCCATCGCTTCCACTCGAACCAATGCTTTGATACCAGTTGTTAGGAATTGACCCTTCTTAACCAAGACCGGTGAGACACGAAATAACAAACAAAGAAGAAAAATGAATCAAACAAATCACACACACAAGAACACAAGGATTTACGTAGTTCACCCTAGAATAGGGCTACGTCCATGGCTGCTGCGGTTTTTCACTATGATCAGAAAAATACAACTATCTCTTAACCTAAAAGAGGCGCCCCTCATCTATTTATAAGTATAGAATTAGGGTTACACGGAAGCACATGAAAATTATGAAAGTACCCATCCCCCTGGGGGGAGGCCCTACCCAGTGTTTGAGTGAACAGTACTTATCAGGGTCCACTGACCCAACAATCCTAAGTGGGATTGTTGTGAGAGACTCGTGGATCGAATCGTAGAACTGGATTGAGGATAGTAAAATTCTACTTTCAATGCATAATAAAATGAAAAATTGTGGATAATGATAATTTATGTTATACGCTTTTAAAAAAGACTAAAGAAAAATGATAAATTTGATATGATGTAGTTTCTATGTTAATATAAATTGGAAGAGATGATTGAAAAAGGAGTTTGTAGTCAAATTTTTTATACATATACATACATATATATATATATATAAGGAGTACATAATAACAAAAAAAATTGTAGGATCGGAATCGTATGCGATTCTACACGATTTTATGAATAGGATTGTAATCACTTTAAGGTCCTATTAAATTTAAGATCCTAGTGTGATCTGGATTGTTTGACCCAACTAAGGTCGTAAGATCGTAAGATCCGGATTGAGATTCAAGCTCTTCATAATACTCAATAGAAAATACCAAACGACATCCCAGAGTCTGCTTATGGAGACGCAACAAATGGGTTGCCAACCCCTCATGAGTAATATTCCTAGGGAGGAGGATGATGTTTGTTAAGTAGATAATTGAAGGAGATCAATTAAAGAAGGTGACAAAATTAGAATTCTTCACACATAAATGCCTTCTGTTTAAGGTGATTTGTAGGTATTGGGAGAAAGAAGTTAGTTTGCATAAAGAAAAGAATATCTATGCACTATGCAATGTGGAACAACTTGCTATGATCTTCAAATATATATCTCTCAAAATTTTTGGAGACTGAAGAGGAATAGAGGACATTGAATTAGTAGCATCACATCCCTTCATTTAATAATGTGGACAAACTTGCTATGATCTTCAAATATATACCTCTCAAAATTTTTGGCCACTGTGAAGAGGGATAGAGGACATTCAATTATAGCATCACATCCCTTCATTTAATCTATTTTTTCAGCATTATCACTGGAACTTTTTCATAATTGAGCACTATGTTTGATGCATTAGATGTTTCTTTGTCAATCCAGGTATAACATGGGAGTCGTACCATCTAGAAAAAGCTTGGCTTTGTGTCAGCGCTTATCAGTGTCAGCCTTCTGCCGGTATGTGAGCTTGCATAATGCTATTTCAGGGCAGTAGAATTTTTAAATATGTACTGAAAGTTTGACATAATAATGATACCTGTAAAATCGTGCTTTTCAATTTTGAAAGCCAATGGATGTATGGAAATCTATGCTTTCTGAAAGTTTTATAAGATGAAACTTTGTTTGAAATTATGTTACAGAAATATAATGTAGACGCATATTTATTCTTTTATTTGCAGACGTAGGCTTGCAACTGTGTTGTTGAAGCTGAAATTTGCTGAACATTTCAAGGAAGCGGTCACATATATACAGCAAGGGCATATCCGAGTAGGTCCAGAGACAGTCACTGATCCAGCTTTCCTTGTGACAAGAAATATGGAAGATTTAGTTACTTGGGTAGATACATCCAAGATAAAGAGAAAAGTGCTGGAATACAATGACAAGCTTGATGATTATGATGCAATGAACTGAGGCATTTGAGAAAGTTGAGCCCCAAGTCTTTTTTATCAATTAAAATTGTGATTATGTTATCTGAACTGGTTTATGTTGATTTGTTAGGATGATAAATTAATGTTTGTTAAGTATAAAGTTAAATGGTATGTATTGCCATCTGTGCAAGGACACCATTGATATTTTGTCTTTGTTGTGAGTGTTAGCCCGACAAGGGTATGTTCTATATGGTATAAATTCAGTGCAATTTTAAAAAGGTAATTACAAATATATGGAAAAACTTATGCTTTTAATTTTTGACATTGATAAAGTTTACTATTAATTTGAAATTATTTTTTTACAACTACACTGAATTATAATTTTTACTTAAATTTAAAATATTGTAATATCATGTTAATCTGCTACCCTTTTTTTTACTTCCGGAGCTCATAGTGTCTTACCAGCCTACAAAGAAGTATGGGTAAATTACATTGTTCATTTAGAAAAAATATAATAAATTTTATATGTTTAATAAAATTAAATTATACTAATTTTTTTAAAGTAAAATTAAAGCTATTGAAATTAAAGCAGATGACGTGTTGTCTTGGGAAGATGTTTTGACTGTAAAAATATAAATTTCAGTATAAAAGGCAGATATCATTATAACTTGGATTAAAATATAAATTTTAATGTAAAAAATAGACATCATTTTGCCGTCGGAAAAAACAAGAGTAAAATATAAATTTTCTTATAAAAGAAATAATATCATTTTTTTATTGGTACACAAGCGAATTACCTATGAGAAGGAGTTGGGTCATGTTCATATCGAGTTATTTCGGATTTGTGGGATAATTACTTTAATACTAATCTAACCTATTTATTATTTGTATTATCGTATCATGTCATTTTTTATCAATGTTCAGTTTATTACTCATATTATCATGTCATGTTATGTCATTTTCGATCCATATTCATTTCGTGCTGCGTCAAAAAAATTTACTGATGTTTGAGACAAAAAAAAAAACTCACCCACAATTCTATCCAAAATGATGTAATATGACAAGTGTCAATTTTTGATTTGTTATACACTTAATAATATAAGACCTAACTCCCTTGTCATATACTGGAAGTCTAAAAGAGTAAATCTTTAACATTTCTCTAATATTAAAATGCATAACTAATTATTCATTAAATGAGTTACTCGTGTTAATTTTATGTTGTATAAGTTTAATATTAACTTGAATGGTTTAATAATCATATTATTAGGTGGTGTCATAATCATATTATTGGGTGGTGTCATATATGTTTTCATGTCGGAAAATAGTTTAGTAAATGTCAACTCGCTAACTTTGTGGAAGATTGATGAAGGTGACCGATGGCTATGATTCACTAAACACGAGCTAGAAACGGAAAGAAAGCCCAAATTCTGAGTTGAGTTTGGGCACATCAACACGAGAACAAATCTGGGAAAAATTCTCATTCAACCCGAAGCAAATATGTGTACAACATATGGAAATCTAGTCAAACATTTAATAATATTAGAGTTCAGTACCCTCTTCGTTAACTCTAACTAAACACGGATGACTTACAAATACTATCAACACTTAAGGAAGTTGCACATTGCAGCTTAATCGCCCAAAAAACTAAAACCAACTGATCCATTAAACTCTTCAGTTTTTTCCACCATTGATTGCAGCATTGACGAAGTCTTCACACTGCGCAAACCCACCAGACAGCACATCGGCCAAAACGCCAATGACGTCAAATGCTTCCTGCAAATCTGTGGCAGAAGTCATGTCCTCGAGCCATGACGCCAGCTCGTTGGAGAATCCCACCATTTCCCTCACATTCAACAGTCTCTCTCTCATAACCACCTCCCAGCCTTCAAAACTTCCAGTGTCATCTTCCCCACCTGATTCCTTGGAAGATGAGCCTTCTTCAGGTCGGTCTACAGTGGATACATTGGCCGACTTCTTAACTTTGAAAAAACGCTGTAGCTGCTCGATCAAGCCAGTGTATACGAGCATCGGTTGAATGATCGATAAGAGATCCTGAATTCCACCAGTTTCTTTTTTGCTGGTACTCGATGATGAATCTGATTTCGCAGTACTAGGCTGATTAAATGATGTACGGTGTGTTGACCGACCATGAGTGTGCTGCATATACGCATGGTATATCCCACGTTGCAAAAAGGCACGGCGGTGTTGCAACCAACACTCGTAGGATTCTGAGAGAAGCGAATTCACCATCATGAACTGAACGGTTTCTTCAGTTCCAACAGAAGGTTGTGTCCCGGAAGCAGGAGAAGATTTAGAATCTGACGTGGAAGAGGTCAGATACGTTGCAACAGATTTGGCCATGGTGCGGCGCTGGGAAGGGTTACCCTGATCGAGAAGGTGACGAGCCATTTGAATCATGAAAGGAAGAAATCGGGAGTTGCTTTCTTTGCCCCCACCTTTGCTGTCTGCACTAAATGATGCACCGGTTGCAAATCGAGCAAGCATCTGCAAGTCAAAATGCATGCACAACACAATGAATCATTAGCTTGATGATGTTTACAATTGCTTACACATAATTTTAGTCGCACGACCACAAATCTTATTATGACACAAACTAAGAATCTATGGCTAGATAGACATGATCTAACTAGTCATAATCAAAAGGTGAAATTCTATAATGTGGAATTCTTCAACGAGACCGATTATTTTTAAGTTCGATTAAAATGTATTAGCAGATATCACAATGAAGGAACAGTTTTTTGGAAACAGAATGAAAACACCAGCTCATGTCTCATAATCAGAATAAACACTAGTATGCACAATGGTGTAAATATAAAAAACAGAAATACCAATAAAGAAGTGGGGAAAATATATTGATGCGTACCAGGACAATGTCATAAGTCAACAACCGTAGGCGACTTCCATCAGCACGTCCAAGAGAATTGAGGTTATCCCAGTACAAGTCAACATAACGGACGTATTGTGCTATTGGAACAGATGGACCTCGCAATGGGAATAGATTATTGCAAAGAGTTTCATTGTTTCTAAGGGCAGCTCCATCCCATTCTTTTTTTGGATTCTTCAGAGCAGCATCAGCTCTTTTAGCCTCCTGATGGCACTGGAAGTGTATGATATTGAAATGGCTAACTGTTGTGTAAACGCACTCCCCACGAGCACTTCCTGATGTTCCAACACCCAGGTTCACTCGCTTGCTGTAAGAATAAACACCCAATAAGTCAGTAGGCCTCAAACTATAGCCCTCCCGGCACACCATGCATGCCAATCCATCTTCCTCCTCCTCCTCAACGTCTTCTAACCCTTCAAGGATTGGCCGAGAAACAACAATTCTCTCACCGCCATCTGAAGCCAGTTCTTGGCGAAACCCAAGTCCCTGTTGCCACAAAAATTTTAGATCAGATATTACTTCCTTACCAAGAGATGGTTATCTCTCTAGCTACTCAGCTACTATATCAAAGTGTAAAGTATACCATTCTATTTTTCTTCTATTTTCTAAGATGTTACTCAGTGTGTGAATTAGCACCAAGGAACTATAGAGAGTCAATGTCGCTTATCACTGAGTGATCATGTGAAACCCATTTAACAAATTGAATATTTAGGTATATTTGGATAATCTTAAAACAACTGACATAAATAGCTATCCTTTTTTTTTTTCCTTTTTTTTTCTTTTTTTTTCTTTTTTTGGTGTGTGTGAATAGATTATATTTATTCAAGAGATTCTGTAATATATCTTTGAGATGCACATTCAAGTCATGAGTTTTATCCAATTTTTCATTCAAACAAAATAAGTAAAAAGCCAATCTATCATATATCTACAATAGTACCTCGAGCAATTCCTCTCTCTTCCTCAGAGCTCGGCGCCTCTTCTCATCCCGGGTGGCATGCCGCAATGTATGAACCTTGTCTGCTAGGAACCCATCACCTTTTCCCTCCTTGTCTGATAGAGTGTCTAACAAGTTTTCAGCCCTTGCCCCGATCTCATTTTCTACCGAGACTCCCTCCAAGGCATGAAGCAACGGTAAAATTCCTCCTTCATAAATACACCTTTGTGTGGCCAAGTGCCCCATTGACAATCCCCTCAGCATAGACAAGATAAGTGGCACAGATGGCAGTTTCAAGCCCGATGCCCATTCAGCACTAGATTTAAAGGCAGCTTGCCCTGTAAATGCAAAACTCTCTCTCAGATGTCTAACTGCAACTCCAGTAATCCGCTTTTCTAATATGATGTCCTTCAATCTCTCGCCACAGTAACTTGTCTTCAGTGACTCTGAAACTCTAACAAAGTTCTCCATCGCAAACCTCTGTTTCATTGCTTGCTGCGCAAGGCTCTCATCTTTTGGATTGTCTTGATGCTGTGTTTGCAGCTGGTCAAATTCTCCCCAGTTTTGTAAGTATGGATCAAAATGCTGGATGAGTGCTTCCATTGCATCAGGTTCGCCGTAGGTCAAGTAAGGCAAGATTCTTGCAACCATTTCAGTGTTCCTCTGCTGTTTATTTGACTTCTTAAGGCCTGAAGTATGACACAATCTTTCCAGGAACATGAGAACTATTTTCTTGGCCTGTTCACCAGCACCAGTTTCTCCACTAGAAACTGTAAGAACACTTTGTGTGATGCTAATGTTGTCGCTCTCATTTGCTTCTAGTGTCAGGCTCTCCACAATCAAAAGAATGCCTTCAGCTGGCTCCATGGCATCCACGGAGAAGGCATGCCTTGCTGTTTCAAGAAGTACATTTAAAGCCCCTAGCCTTAATAAGGCCCTTCTATTTTCTCTTATTTTGCAGCAGAGCATTAGAAGATTAAGCACCGCAACCAATTGCTCTTGGTTGGACTTCAAATCATCTCGCACACACTGTACATTTACAACAATGTCAGATGTATAGATGATGGCGGAAATACTGCATAGTTTTTAATTGCAAAGCAAAGGTAAGGTTCTGAGAAAAACCTGAATTCAAATAATATTGCCATTATGCAGACACAGTAACAACTAATGACACTATTAATCCATATATAACCAATATATTCATCATGCAGTATGAAATAAAAACGATACAGATTAATAGAACTAGTGCTATGTTGCTTTTTATTTATTTTTATTAACTTTAAATAGAATATTCATATATATGAGATGAGATGTAATAAATATATAAAATTACATATTTTTTGATCAGCAACTCCTTTTTATGACCAAATTCCACATTAGTTCTTCATGTTTAAACTTCCACTCAAATTTTAAATTGTGGTGTGATGGGAGGACTACATTGAAACTTGGGAGGAAAGCACACAAACTTGGGGTTATAGGTGTGGCATTTTGAAATGCCCGTAAACAATGTGAAAATAAGCCTAACCAAAGGGGGTTAAAATACAATTAACCCTAATAGTTCCTTATGCCACAAACATCTCCATTGGCACATGAAAATTCCTAGATTTAAATCAATGTTCTCAGACATGCTATCTCCATGGGCTTATTCATGCAATAACTTTATGTTTGATTTTCCAGCAGTCTCAAACTTGTGTGGGAAAATAAAATAGCCTATATGATATGCAACTCAATATTTCAATTGTTGCTTCAAATGTTACACTTTGACCAAACAAGATACATTTGCATAATGTAACTTTGAACAAACCCGTTCACAACCCAAATCAATCCAAAATTACACTATGGAGAACCATGTATCTATTTATATCATTAATACATTTCTAGAAAATAAAGAAGTTACCACACACCTGAATCATGCTCAAAATAATTTCAAGCCCACCACACTCCCGGACTGCACCTGCTATTGCAAACTCAACCTCTGGATCCTGAGTTTCCTCCCTATCCTCCTCCAACTCTTTGATCATTGGTTCAGTAGCTTCACCATCTAATCCCTGCCAAATTATAAAATGATGCACTTATTTAGATGCAGATACTTGTACACTTTCCATATCAATTTCTACAGTTGAGTTTTGGCAAAAACAACTTTTACGAGCCAGTAACAAAAAAGCTTCCTGAACATACTTTCTACATTGAATGAGCACAATACAAAGTAAGAAGAATGAATTACATAAAAGACTTTAAAAATGATTGTGAAAGAGAAAATAATGTTAACAGTTCAAACCATCCTTCTTCATTGTAATTATTACATTCGCCTAGAATAAAAACGATGCTGTATCATAGTATTATGAATGTAAGGAAAGATATTCTTGAACATACACTAGGTACAGATTCCAGAGAAGGAAAAAAAATGAAAAGGACCAACAACAGCAAGCTATCTAAAAGTACAAAGTAGATAATATTCATCATTTCAGAAGAAAACCTAATGAAATTAAAGTAGAATTTAAGAGATTGGCTCAAGGTATGTGTAATCAACTTAATCTCTTGAGATAGACCTATTATTTGTTTAAATTTATGATCTAAGATGAAGAGTAAACACCTAATTGAGTTGGGGTTGAGAAATATAAGTTTAAATGGGATCTCTTCATGGAATTGAACGTTGATTCTATAGATTTGCTTAATTTAAGAGTCAATTTCCTTACATTTGCTTATCTTGAAGTTGATTATGAGATGTTGAACCTTAATCTTGAGGGTTTGTATGGTTAATCATAAATGAGATGAAAATCTACATGAGTTTAGAAGAGGAAGTTTTGGGAAAAGTTTGATAAAGAACTAAATAAATACTTTGATCTTTCTTGCTTAAAGATTCATGGTATTTTTGGTATTTTGATTTAGAAAACAACCATAATCTCATGTTTTCTATTAATTTTACATGTTTTTGAATGATTTAAGTTGGACCCAAGCTTTGAAAATGGAAGAAACAAGTGTTAGAATAAACTAGAATTTCGGGCAGCAGAATTGGCCCAGAGCCGCACGTGCGGCAGGTCTTCCTACACGTACGGCAGTCCATTTCCAGCCCCAAATTTGATTCTGCTAAAAAAGCACGTGGTCCCGCACATGCGGCCCAGTTCCCGCATGTGCGGCCAGGTTTCCCGCACATGCGGGACAGCCATGTTCAACCAACTTTAAATACGCATATCTCTTGCATTCGGACTCCGTTTTAAGTGATTCTTGAGCCTAAATTCAAGCCCCGAACGTCTAGTTTCTAATGGTGGTGGTCTCACTACAAAATTTTAAGTACACAAATAGTTATGCCCAAAATAGTGACGATTGTTCACTTTCTGTCTATCGGTGTTATACCATTTCTTCTTCTAAACCATTTTCCTTTCGATTCCTCCTATTTTCCTAGACTCGGGTTATGATCTATTAAGGAGTAATAAGTTTAGAACCACCATGGCTAATTGATTAAAGAACAAGAAAGGGATTTGGTTTTATTCTCATTTTATGCTATGTGCATTGTGTTTGTAAGTCAACGAAGACATCGTCCCCTTTGTTACCAGAGGCCCAGCACTGTGAGTAATAGTATAGTAAAGATATGTTTTCATTATCTATTTGATTAATGTGTGACAAGATTCTCTAAATATCATATTTTGATAATGTGTGACACGATTCTCTCAATGTCGTATTTTGTTAATATACACAAGTTTCCAAGAAAAGTAAAATGAGTCATGAATAAGAACTGTGAATTGTTTATCATATCACATGGTGGGCCCAAGGCCGTTCTGTTTATCTGTTTTGCTTATGCTATGGCATGGTATGAATTGTTCGGTCTTTAAGACCTAATCATTTTGGTATGGAACAAAGTGCTGTATGGAACTAAGTGCTACGGTGTGAGTCGCCTCTAGAATCCGTATGTGCCACCTCTTGAGTCCATACATACATGAATTGGGCCCAAGGAGAGGTGGAGACATGTCGATGTTCCATCTACTCCATGATCAGATATAATGACACGATATGATACGTTTGGACCGAAGGTCGTTCTGATATATGATTGGGCCCGAGGCCGTTTTGTTATACATGGACCCGAGGTCGTTCAGAACATATGATATGAATACAAAGGTTTTGACATCGTTATATGACTCATGTTATGATGTGGTATTTTATCTGCATGAATGGATGTCCTATTTTAAAACATGCTTCTAACCTTGTGTAAGTGGGCATACCACGTGCCATGTAAAATGTTTTGTAATAGTTCCATTATGTGTTCCACTTGAAAGGGTATGGTTTATGATACGATAAATGGCTATTTTGAAAAGACTTATGATACGTTTTTAAATTGTGAAATGTGTAATTCTAATGCTAAGGACATCATTCATTAACCTCTTTATTTTAGTATTACTCATTGGGTGTTAGCTCACCCCTTTTATTTTATATATGTAGGTGAGCCATCAGGGATCAACACTAGAATTGTATCAAGGTCTGCCTCTCTGTCAAACCAACCGAATTATGTCTCCGCATTGAGGCCTTAATTTTTGTATTGGGAAATATGTAATTTATTGAGTCTTATGTAATTGTGTGTGTAAGATCGGTATAATTCTGTGATTATTGTAAATTTGGGAAGCGTATTTAATTTCTTAAGTTAATCTAAATCTTCATGTATGCACAAGCTCAATGGGCATTTTATCTACGTTGGTATTTACTTCCACTTAAGGCCCCGTAATTGAACAAATATTATTATGAAATTTTGTTTTGAGGCCTAATCACAGGCTGGTCATGGACCAAACTTTTAGGGGCGGGTTTGAGTCGTAACAGATTTTGAGTTAAGTTTCAACCTTTTGCACTCCAAGTGTTTGTGGTTTCTGTGTTCAATTTGATGCTAACACTTACAGAGTAGCTTCCATGGTAGGTGGGTCATCCTCTTTTCCAAAGAATGCCCATGAACACTGAAGCTACAAATCATCAAATTATTTACGTCCAACCCAGATCCTAGATATATGAAGTAAGAATTTTCACAGAAAGCAACAAAACCTAGCAAGAATTTTCCTCCTCTGTTCCCTCTCTCTTTTTCTTCTTCTTCTCTTTTCCTCCTATGTTTCTCTCGCCTATTCTCAAACCAGTTTTAGAGAAGAAGAAAAAAAAAAGTTTCAAAACAAAGTCATTTTGAAACTTTGGGCCACTCGAGCCTTAGGAATCTCGAGCTACGAAGCATTTTTGAAAAAGAATAGTGTATTTACGTGGAGACTCTTTTTGTCAAGTATCACTTTTAACTCCTTAAATTTAAAAAATGCACAAACAAACTCCCTAAAATATTGATATTGTATAACCACTTATTGACGTTAATAGAACACGTTTAATTACCAAAATATCCCGCACTCCTAGTATCATTTTACCCACTAAACTATTATGAAGTATCATTTTACTCCCACTAAACTATCATAAAGTATCATTTTACCCAATGAACTATAGAAGTATACAATTACCCATTTTAACTATTAAATTGTCACATACGTAGCCTGATGTCATAAATAAAAAAAATTAAATAGCCAAATTGCCCCTCTTTTTATATTAACAGACTGTTCTCTCTTTGAAATCCATAAAATATTATTGCAATTTATTATTATTATTATTAATAAACCCCCTATGTCTGTACCCTTATCTCCCCACCCCATTTAAAAGAGAAAAAAAAATTTTAAAAATTGTAATAATTTCTAATAGATTTCAAAGAGATAACATGTATGTGATATATAGAAAAGATGAGATAATTTGGTCATTTCACTGCTTTCATTAACAACATCAAAGAGTGTGTGACCATTTGATTGTTGAAGGGCGTAATTGTACATTTATAATTTAAAGATTAAAATAATATTTCATAATAGTTTAAGGAATTAAAATGATACTTTATGATAATTCATGGGATCTCACTACTTAGTAATAAAATAATTAAAATCATGGTACATGATCTTGAATCTTACGATTTACTCATGGTTGAAGGATAAAGGCAAGGGTGTATGTGATACATTTTGATAGTTAAGGAAGTCTAATTGTAATTTTTTTTTAAAGTTTAAAATGTCAAGTGATTATTTTAAAGTTTAAAAAGTCAAAGTGATAATTAATAATAGTTTAGGGGTTTCTGCATAAATAACCTAAATGTTTAGATCCAAAAAGTATACTAGAATCACTGATATTTATTTGAAGGCTAAGGCTTGTTTTAGGTACAAAAAATAAATAAATAAATAAATGAACAATTTGTTAGTTTATTGACTTATTTAGATGATATCATATCTTTAATCGATCTATTTATTATATAAGGAAAAGATAATTTTTAGGAAGAAGCATTCTATGAGCTCCAAACTCTCATTCTAAAATTATTGAATTTTCTTAATTTTAAACAATTAAAAAAATTCTCATTGGCTAGCTTCCATTTACTTTTTATTTTACAATCCCACATCGGGAAAAAAAATAAATAAATAAATAAATAAATGAACAATTTGTTAGTTTATTGACTTATTTAGATGATATCATATCTTTAATCAATCTATTTATTATATAAGGAAAAGATAATTTTTAGGAAGAAGCATTCTATGAGCTCCAAACTCTCATTCTAAAATTATTGAATTTTCTTAATTTTAAACAATTAAAAAAATTCTCATTGGCTAGCTTCCATTTACTTTTTATTTTACAATCCCACATCGGGAAAAGAAATAAAAAGTGACTTGTTTCACTTACATAAAGTGAATCTTATACTCCCATTTATATAAGCAAAAAAGATTTTTAGTGAGAAGTCTTATGATCAATATCTCATATTATTTTTTTGGATTTTCTTAATTTTAAATAATTAAGAAAATTCTCATTGGTTAGCTCTCATTTAACTTTTATTTTACAATCTCACATAGAGGTTTTGATTTTAAAAATAATTTTGTATGAGATTTTGAAACTCTCATAATATCTCTCCTTAAAAGCGTTCTTTTAAAATGTAGAGATATATTGATAATCTCAATGTTACTCTTACTGCTCCTTAATACAAAAATTGTAACGCCCTCAAAATAATACATAAAACCCATCAC